TTCTGGAGACTTGCTGGAATATGATAAAGCAGGAAGGCTGCTTTTCCTCTTCCTACCACATCTACAGATTTAGGCAGATAACAAAACTAAAAATGTGAAGGACAGAATCTACTTATATGAAATGCTTGTTTAGCAGAAATTCAGTGGGAATAATAGAAGATCCAACAATTGACTAACTTTTTTTATGGCAAATTTAAAAATCTCACTGGGCATAGAACTTGCATCTTCAGGTACTGGTACATATTGTGTAGTCTGTAATGTCCAGTTGGAAAAAATCTTATTTGTTAGCTACAAGTAATATTCCCTGTCTTTCCCTGCTAAGAGGATTGGAGAATGGGTGTGGGGGTGGGGGGAGGGCAGGAACGTTATTTAACTAATATGCAAAGTAAGGATCAGTGTTACACACATTCATGTGGTAAAGAATGCCTCTTTCCTTACAGAGGCAGGTGAGCAAGTTAGAAATTCCAAATACAGTTGAAGAGAATCTGATTATTCTCCTACAGAAGATTCCAAGGATACCTGCAACATGAAATTAAATTTGACTGCTTAGATAAAGACTTCTTTCCTGATTTTAAACCTAAACTATGCTTTAAGTTATGTCACTGTCCAAGAGGATGATGTCAAAGAACTTATGAAACTAATCTGTCGTGGTTTTATTCCCTCTATTTTATTCCTACTAAAAATCAGCTCAAACACAAATTTATTAGGAGTTACTGAACACTGCAAAATAAAGCTAGTAAGCAAACATTAATAGTGAGAAAATGTATTTGTAGAAGTTGTTGTCCTGCATGGCTTCTATTTGTTTAATGGATTAACACTAAGAGAATGAACAATTTCTGTAGAGCTGAAGCATTTCCTCATTGCCAATCTAAATTCATCAGTTTAACAAAAAAAGCCACTGATATCTGCTACACATGCATGGCTACAGATTCCCAGTCACATTGTTAAGTCATGAAGCAGGGCTCAAGGTCATGCACCAGGCAGAGCAGCTGAAGTCCCCAGCTGTACTCACACCGAAGATGCTTTAAACTCATCCTCAAATACACTGTCATCCTTGTTATCAGCCTGTAAGACAATGGGGCTCTCAGCTGTCAGCCCACTGAAGACCAGGCCACAGAAGGTGATGGAAAACAAGCACGAATGTGTTGCCAAATGCAAGAAGGTTAAAAAAAAAAAAAAAAAAAAAGAAAAGGAAGAAAATAAAGTGCTATTATGTAGTATGCAACATGAAACTACTGTTTCTACTGTTTCAGTTATCCAGAGTGTTATATTTTCATATTGCCAGAATCCATTAAACTTTAATCAATTCAGTCAATTCAGTCTGCTTTGCAAGAAAGACTGCTTTACATGTAATGCAGGATTTTAAGGCTCTAAATTCATACCCAGCGCTAACCAACAGAAAACCTCCAAAGAACTTCCCAAATGTTATAATTAATACAAGATATGCTCTTCATGGATCCTGCTCCAGTTTTGCAAATTGCATCTTCAGCAATGGGATGACAGTGTCCAGCTTTAGCTATCTGCAGCTTATGTATCTTCACCCAAGCTAGTCAGCCAGATTCCCTTTATAGTCAACAAAGAGACAGTTTCAGAGCACGATTAATCTTGAAATTTCAGGCAAGTAGAATACGTTAGATAAGTGAAAGCCTACCAGTACTTGCTGCACTCCACTCACATCAAAGGGAGTTGAGCTGATCAGACATCTAATTTACGCAAAATTAATTCCAGTCATCTTGTGCAGTAGTCAGGCATCTTGAGGATCTGCAGCTCCTTTTTCCCTAAGCATGCATAGCCCCAAAAAAACATTATAGGACTGGCAAAGACACTGTCTTTGACTGACTCCACTGTTGCAGACTGCTGCTCAACTAGTCATTACTGCCTCTCTTCTGCTAATTATAAATATAATTATAAAACAGTAGATATATTCACTACTACAGTGTAGCCTCAAAGGAAAATATTTATGCTGGAATGGTGATTGTAAAGGCAGAAAAAAAAACGAATGAACTGTAACATATACAGGACAAATAGCTCTGCACTAATGGTACTATGCTCTTGTTACAATCTTCTGTTATGTGGACATAGTGAATATAAATCTGTTAATGGATAAAATTAGGCTTCGTTCCCATATCAAATGCTCTACCGCATGAGATTTGGGTCAACTTGCTTAGGATGGATGGTGACAAAGAACTTAGCTATGCAGGTTAAGTCACCTACAAATCCATCTCTTTTTGGTGGTGGTGTTTTAAATCTGAATATGCTTTTTTTTCGTTTTTATTTCAATGAAAAGAGGAAAATAAGGAAAAGTCTGTCATATTAATAAAATGCAATGAATGTAAGGGAAAGTAACGGGAGAAGAATGGAGTATTCCTCAGCTCATGCACTTACCTCTCACTGAGCTCGTCAACGCGCTGCCCATGGCCCAGCATGAAGCTGGACTGGCCACATGGACTCGCAGGGGCTGATAAAGTGCTTTTGACGTTCTGTACCGAGTGCCTGCGGCTCCGCCGGCGCTCTAACCCCCTTCGCTCACCAGCACCAAGACTGGCCCTTCTCCGGTCCTTGCGCCCACTGGGAGGGGGGTCAGCACTCTCATCTCCATCTTCATGCCTCAGTGTCATCTGAGAAAGAAAGAAAGAAATCCAAGGCTTCTGACACAGTTCCTTTGGGTACCACAAGGTCTTCACTCCTTGGCTTAAAAATTTACCAATCTCAACACGATTAACTCCTATTAGCAGTGCTATTTCTACAGCTTTCCCTGCAAGCTACAGTCTATCCATTAGTGCAGCGTGGCAGCAATAATCATGGAATTATATACCAATGCCTTGTATAGAACACTAAAGGAGCTGTAACAACACATTTATGTATCTCCTAATTTGTGTTCATTTTCTTTTTAATTTTCAAGGAAGCTGAGCAGTGTTGGACAACTAGTTCTCTGTATTTCCTTCCAAAATACTTATAGGAAGTCTTGTGAAATCAACAATAAAAAAACTCTCATGCATTGACTGATTGAACATTTCCTCATGTTAAGACATGACACTTGTAGTCATCAAGCTGAAGTTACCATCTACTACTAAAGAAAATGTTGGAAATAGTAGAGGACTAAAGTATGGGTGCAACACCTGAGTATCTCAAACTACAGCACACCATTGACATGCTAATGGGACATATCTCTAACAGAAACAAAGCAAGTGTTGCCTTATGGTACATGAGGAGAGATATCCCTGGAAGAAAGAACAAAGTTACTACTGGATCTCATCTGAAATGCAGCCCAACATTTAAGTAATCCTTATGTGAGAGAGATACACTCAAATAGGCAGAGGTACGGAAGAGGGTGATGTGGGTGATCAGAAGAATACGTATCTTCTTGTTTCTATTAGCCTTGTTATTCTGATAATTCTTACCAGAACTGACTTTAAAAAAAAGGCGGGGGGGGGGGGGGGGGAAGTGAGATCTCTCTGCTTAGGGTGTAAAATCTGTTTCTGTGAGGAAGAAGAGATTTTTCATATAAAAAGCAACTTTGGCAGAAGAACCTGCATAGGCATGTCTAGATTTAATCTGGTCATGAAGAGAAAGCTGGTATCCAAATAAGTTAACTGCTAATTTCGTAATCAAGTCTTTCAGTAGGCTCAACATGCACAAAAAACTTCTGCTTTTAAGATTAATCACCATATTTCAAAAAGTGATTTATAAATCAATGAAAGGAAATGGTGCCCTTTCATTCCCTTTTTCCTATTCTGGCCTGGCTCTTCCTGAAAACTGATGTATATAAAACTTAACTCTGCTAAAGTTAGTGAAGTGGCATGAATGTAGAGTTGATGAAGAAAATGTAGAATCAAATCTATCCAATCCTTTGCTGGACTTCAGCTGAGATGAAGTAATTTAATTTCATCACATCAGAACACGAATTCACATTTACACTACATTAACTTCAGCCTAAACCTCCCCACTCCAACACTTTCCAAAGTCCATTACTCCATTGCTGTAAACTGCACAGGATCTCGTCCAGTGTAAACTCATAAACAAGGACTTGTTGGATATTCAGTTGCAGAACAAATGATATTTGTGAAGTTGAGCTCAGCCGAACTTTCTTCACAAGCTGAATACTTTTGCATATGGAAAGAACTTCTACTTATTTCAAAATGTGTAATTAGTAATTGCAGAAAGCAGGCTAGTAAATGTGCTGGTTTGCTTTGGAGTAGGCCCCAGCTTTAGAGTGAAATCCTTTTGCATTAAATACAGCTATGTAGTGTAGTAGGTCACATATACAAATGTGTATAATACCTCTAGCAACCAGATGTTTTTCTTTTAAAATAAAATAGATAACCAAATTTCACCTAGGTTACATTCCCCCTGCCCTCGTCTTTGAAGTTCGCACAAGCTGTAAGATGCATAAAACAGGGCATGTTATGTTACCTCATAAATGTTAAATTGCTCAACTAAGTCCAAGTCTGTTCCTTTCTTGTTCAAGTGTCTCTGTGAAATAGCTTCAATGCCTAGCTCTTCCAGACAATCCACCACATCGTAGAAAGAGTCTTGATCTGGCAATCCCGACAGCGTCTACGAATCAAAGGAAAAACACTTAAATCTGTTTGTTTTGAAAAGAATTAAACAAAGGATTTTAAAAGCAGGTGGCAAGTGGTGTTATGCATGATTTCAATAAAGTAAAACCCATGATGTGGGATTAGAGACACCGCTGGAAAATAAAAAACAAGTGGCACAGCTTTTAACAAACAACTCTGTGCACTGTGTAGAAAAAAAAAGAATAACTGGCAAAACAAATAAATGTTGTTATTTCATACAAAAAAAGTATGGAAAATGTGGGCCTTTAAAATACACAGTTGGATTCTTCCTGACTTCATTGAAGTACAGATTTAAAGAACTGAGAATGTTAAAGCATCAAACACAGAGATAAAAGCAAAGAAGGGAAAAAAAAAAACAGTTTAGCTGAAATGAGTAAAGCTGATTTCCTACTGATTCCTGTAAGTTTAGCTGTTAAGAAGAAAAAGTCCAGTGCACAGCTGTGTGATGTCAGGACAGCAGGAAATATCCTGCACCATGTGCCTTACTGTCCTCCACACCTGCCGCAGCAGTCATCTTCCCTGTGCACAAATTGTTTTATATTACAGAGATAGTGAATCCTCTCTTCCTTTTTGACTTGAAAAGTCACATTAAAGGTACCCTGACTCATTAACTCCTATAAAATGTTAGAAGAGTTATTAATTCCTGATTATATGGTAACCTTTTACCAGTGACAATGTAGAGGAGCTTCTGCAAACTAGAAAATAAAGAATACTAATATTAACGGTTATTGAAAACTAATTGTTTGAGCCACTGATTTCTACTCAGCTTATGCTGATTTTTTTTACTGCTCCTTATGGATGATGCAGAAAAATTAGTGTAATCCTGTGGACGTTAAGCAGAAACTACTGATCATACTGTGCATCTTACTGGCAGAGCAACATACACATCCTCACAAAAACCAGTCCGTGCAGAGCTCTTTCTGCAAAATACCTGAGAACGCAGACTGGAAGCAACACAGTTATTCTGGAGTAGCTCACCAGAGGGATGTTTATTTTAAAGTAGTTTCCTCTCTCCCATTTCATTAGCTAAGTAACTTATCTTTATTCCCAGTAGAGAAAAGAAAGAGCAAGAGACAGAGATGCAAAACCCAGGCCCTTTCCAAAAGGAGTTTCAACTTCTCATGGCTTGGATAGAATGAACTGTGCTCTGTCAACACTGGTTTTCCAAACTGGATCTGAGCAGCAGAGTGCAGGAAAAAGCAGCTGCTCTGGGCTGCATCCCTACACCGAGAAGCTTTACATTCAGAAAAATGGGTCTGAATTATATGACTAATGAGAGAGGAATAGGCAGCCGACATATTTGTCCTTTAAACAACTCTTTCCTGTGATGTGAGGCACTGAAATATGTGCATCAACAAGGTACTCTTTAATTTAATTTTTTTTTTCTAACTAAACACAACACAGCAACATTTTCTTCTTCAGTCATTACAGGACTATTGCCAGGTGAAATTCACCACAACAGGAATTCTTAGCTCAAACACTAATTGAATGTTTGTATTATATGTTCAAGCTTTAATTAAAAATTTGTCTCTGTCCAGGACAGTACTTAAGTCTCTGTTTAAAACCCACAGAAGACTAGGAAACTAAAACTTCCTGAACAGTGCTGCAAACAGATACCACATATATTCTGTTCCTTCCTAAACTGGCACCTAATAGCACTGAGTAAAAATCAGAGGATTCAGCAAATGAAGTTAATCACACTGCAAATTCAATGAAGCTTTAACATGGATATGAAAATATTATAATAGAAAATGGTGTTCAACTATCAGTCTTTCTCTTGCAAATGAAAGATGTAAACTGAAACTACTCTGACCTGAGGGCCTCCATGCATAGTAAGATGTGATGTTTTATTTGCAAAAGAGTGCACAGAGTCACATCTTCTGAGAATTTACTCCTAAAATTATCAGGAAATGGTCTTAACATTGATATGCAGATCACCCACCCTCAAATACAGCTTTTTTAAAATCCAAGGTAAGGCAAGCTGTTGACTGGAAAAACAGCAGCATAAGGTAGTGTTTACTGGCAAGTACTTTTTTCAGCAGCCTTTTATTAGTTAATATAATTTTAAATCAAACAGCAGTGGAAATCCAATTTTCACTGCATATTGCTGGCCAGAACTGGGCAGTTGAACTCTCAGGTATAGAAATCAAATATTTTTTCTTTGCACGGTTTGTCATGGAACTCACAGACCCACTCTTGGAGCCTAAAGCATATAAAATTCAATTTCTAACATTATAAAATGGAATGTAAAAGGGCACTACTGGTGCTGCAATAAGGTCAGTTCAATCTATCATAGGAAAAACACTTTTTCAGTAAATAAACACAAGGAACGTGAAGTGCTTGCATAAATGACTGATTAATTTTGGATTGTGATATTAGAAAACAAGAGTGGATGCCCATTTTCTTGGTGGCTTTATAAAGGAAAAAAACCTGCTAACAGAAGAGTGGAGACTATAGATTGGGCAGGTCCTTCCAGAGCCTTTGCTCCTTTCTGAGTACATGGTTAAATTCAAAATGATACTCCAATATCAAAATACACATACAAGTCCCAAATAGTTCTTCATGTTCTGAAGACTAAACCTTAAAAAATGAAAACCTGTCTAGAGAATTAAAATTTAGACACTTGGAGAAGCATGTTTAAACCATACTCTGTGGTTTGCTTGCTGAATTTTGTTATGGTCTCGCTATCTTCAACCAAAAATGAGACGTCAAGTACAAAACTCTTCAGAACTCAGGTGTACAAAGAAAGCATGAATATGAATTTCAAGACTCACTCCTATGCCTCTATCCAGTTTTGGTTTGAGGAGACATCACTGAACTAAGATTTTTAGTGGTCTGTTGTGTGGTTTTCCAAGTTGCTTTCTCAAGCCCTTGTGAGAAAGGCTTTGCAGATTCGAGCTCTTCCCTCTCAAGTGGCTATTTCTGGAATGGTGAACTAAATTAAAACCAAAACCTCAACCCAAAAGTTTTGAGCTTGATATATCCTCTTAACAACAATTTACCAAACCCTCAACAACCCTCTCCTACCTCTACCTTTAAACGTCCCAGTACAAAGAAAGGTAACAAAACTAATAAAGTTGTATTGGAGGTGGAAAAAGGAAAAGTTTTATGGCAGCGTATCAGCCAAACGTGATCCTAAATGATAAGACCTATAGACAGAATAATCAGCTGGTAATAGCAGAATATTCTTATTACATATCCTCAGTTATGTCTCTGAACAAGACCTGACATAAATTAGCCCCAGACTGAAAGTCTCTATGTATTTGCAGTTTTTAAAATGGTTAACACTAGTTAGTAAAACTAGGAATTATGGTGACTTTTGTAATTTACAAAACAATCACAGTACAATGCAGTGGTGCAGAGACAATATAGACAACAGGAAGTCCATTTGGTGTGTAGTGTTTCGTGAAAGTTCAAGTAATATGGGAGTCCTGCCCTGGCTACCAAATGCCCAACAAGCTGCACTCCACTGGCAGGCCCACGCACCAGAGAGAAAGACATGAGCTAAATCCTACATGTTATGATGAGAAGCACTATATGGTGAATAAACACACTTAAGGGCATTAGCCAAATTTGTAGTTGCTTTGGGACAGGAAGTATCATGTATCTGTTTTCCCAGGAACCACAACTCCTAAAACATCTGGTGGGGCCAATGTCAGACACAGGACTTGGGATGATCGTTGTTCCAGTGTCGCAGTTGCGATGTTCTCAAGGCAGGTCATCAGTAACTAGTGTGCCAGCTGCTGTTTTAACACCACACTAACCTGAAACAGCGCTTTTTTAACTCCAGCTTATGGACTGCTGGTGGGTGGTACTCTAGGCTCCCACTTGGCCTAGAAGCTGGTGCTTAAATTCTAAAATTATACTGGACCTTCTAAAAACCATTCAGTGCTTAATCTGACTATACTAATACATATTAATTTTTATGTACCTCGTAATTATTTTATCTATTTAAAACTATACTGTATGAGAGAACAAGCAATATTAATAACAGGAAAAGAGAAAATCAGTAATTTTAAAACTTACAAAGCTTCCAATGTAATCTCAATAAGGAAGAGGTTTTATAACAGTTGAATACAAAGTGAATTAAATGCACCACAGAACTTTTTTCTGCATTTGATAAGTAGTTGGTCAACTTTTTTTATACAAAGGAAACACAAAGATTTTAATCTATTCAGACTTCAGTAATAAACATAAGGAAGTAGAGATTAGAATAGGATCTAACAGATCATAGGAATTAACCCAAGGAAGATAACAAAGGTTATACCAGAACAATATATAACCAGAAGTATCTGCATTGGCATCACTCTTATTTAAGAGATTCATTAATGCCTAAATCCTCACAAATTAGAAGAAGATTAATGAAATATTAGCTTAAGTAAATTGGTTAAGTATCAACAAAAGAGAGGGAGAGGATAAAAGGACTGGAGCAATTTTTATGCCTGAGTAGGTGTGTTTTGCACTCTTGAGTAGGAAGGAAAACAGTCTGTAAATGTATACACGGAGAAAGAAGGAGTAGAAGTATGCGTCCTTAAGACAAATCCTTCACGAAGACTCTGCCTGCTCTGAAAACTTTGATATTTCCTTGCCTAGAGAAGCTAAATCCATCTGAGCCTTCTTTGTATTCTCTGCGGGGGAAAAAATTACAACTGTTACATGCTGCTTGCTGCTTTCTCTGTAATCATGAAAAATATCCCATTAGAAACATCATAAAGCTGCCCATAAGCCAGATCATAATTATAAGTGTGGATTTGTGGGATTCCTCTCTTCCTTGATCTTCGTAACTGCCTTGCTCCTTTGACTGTGAGATGCTTTTTCTTTTTGTGTGTTTTTAAAGAACTATCTTGTCCTAAAAATAGCTTTAAATGTACTGAAAAACTCAGACTAAAGGAATCAACTATAGGATAATAAGAGACTTAACAGAGAACAAAATCTTTGAGGAAGTCAAACACTAGGTAGACTACAACTGGGCAAATGATGAAGAGAATTATCTCAACAAGAGGAATCGGTACACAAAAAAAACAAGGTGTAAAGCGGAGCTGTTAAAGATTGGTCACCTTGCCTTTAATAGCAGCTGCAGACAGAAGCATGTGTAGCTGGTGATGTTTTTTCAGAAAGAGTATAGCAGTAAGATAAGGTGGTCTTTTAAACTCAAGAGGAACTTTACTACCATGGAAGCAGGAGCAAGGGTGACTCCAAGCAAAAGTAGAGTAATGTCAGAAATGTCACCAGGAGAGGCTAGTCCCCCTCAGGCATATTTGCTGGACAATATCTGCCATTATGAAATTGTTTTATAAATAACACCAACAACAGAGCAACTCATAACCCCTACCATGTAGCCAAGAGCCCAATAAACTGGCAGCCAACAAACCCAGGTCTTCAAGTGAATATAATGAGTAATAATAATGATATTTCCTAATACTCTGTCCTATTAAGTATAACCATATACCACACCGTTATTTTGATTTCCCAGTAGAATGCTGTCATTCTGTGCCCTTTAAAAATTAATCTTTAATTTTACTCATCCTAAGATTTGTCTAGGACTAGATGTTGATTTTTAAGGTATTTACACTAATAAATTTCTAACTTTCATGGACCTTCCATTTTCTCTATTTTTTCTGCTCAATAGCACAAGTGAATACTTCAGAAAACATTCGATTTTACTGTAAAACTATTACTTGTAAATTAGGTCACCAGAAAATATAAGGAAGTGAGAAAAAAATGTAAGCTTACTTTTTTAAGCAGAAGTATTCTTATTAGCACTCAGACCTGTTAAATTCATCATACTTAGTTTGCATTAAAAACCAAAATTACTTAAACTATCTGAACTAGAAAACTGTGTACAATGCAAGCCTTTGTGAGTATGTGATCTTTTCATCAGCGCTTGCTTTCTTTCTCCCATTCAATAAACTGTTGAGTTAGTTTGCTGAGTTTTTGTTTAGCACTGCAGCATCAGCACTGGGAGAAGAGCCATGTCATACCACAGTTCCACACAGCATCTAGTAAAATAGGAGTTCTGCTCCCAGCCACTGCCTCTGGGTGACTGAAGCACAAGTAACAAGAGTGTGCTGATTGATTACAGCATGTTCTGCAACTTCTCCATGACAGGTCTCTGTCACGTACTCTCAACAGGAAAGTTCACCAAAGAATTGAAAACAATAATATTATGTCCACTAGTTATGCTAACAAAGTAAACAAACCTTGTTGACCAAGGTCATTGTGTAAACCAGTAGCTCGGTATCAACCCCATCCTTCTCCTCCAGTATCTCCATGATGTTGGACCATGGCTTGGTTCCTAGAGGAAAAGCAGAAACTCTCGGTTACAGTGATCAAAATGGAAAGCTATAGCATTAACACTTATCCAAGAAGTAGCACAAGATGGATTATGTGGCCAGAGGAAAGTTCAAGCAGAAAGATCCAGCTTTTTCTACACTCTCCTGCTTTCCTGAAAGTGAAGTTAATGCAGACAATGAAAATTACAGTGCAGCCTAATGCAGGGATCTAAAACATGCCAGGTAGACTTTCTCCAAATGTACCAACTTCTCCTCCTTGATGACGAAGGAAGCTTTGTTAGCCCAGTTTGATTGACACCAAACTTCTAAAAATCAGGTGGGAGGAATTTTACTGAACCTATCATAGGTTCACATAGGCTTTGACAAATCTTCAGCAAAACCCTATAAACTATGCTTTCAGTGTGCCTGTTGCTCATATTCCTGGTGCTATGCTGAGTTACGCTGCATTAAGGTAAGTCAGGTTAACAAAACAGTGTGGCAGAGAAACAGTTTTCTCAAATTACAGGCTAAAGAAATAAAAGAAATGTTCAATGAGGGGAAAAGAATTTTCCTACAGAACTTTCAGATATGTTTCTCTCATTTTCCACTAAGTAAGGTCAAAATTTGTGCCTTTAGTTATGACATACTTGCTTGATTTGCATGTTGATTTGAATTTGCATATTTATCTGATAACCAAACCCTAGTGGCCTAGTGAGTTATTGTGCTAAAAACATCAGACAGGCAACACACCACCCAGACTCAAGACAACCTCTTGTGTGGAAGGTATCATGTAAAACCATCCTATTTCATTTGGCTAAATAAATGGCAAGATGATTCCATCTACTAAATTTTATCTCTGAAAAGTGAAGTACATATTGAAACACTATAATTCAGTGTTTTGTCTGGAGCGAAGTGAGAGGTGAGGAGGACAAAATAGAGAGCTAATCCGATCCTAGAGATATTGAATTCAACTACAGAAGCGGAACTGTGAGAGTCTTTGAACTTCAGAGGGTAACATGCAGAGTATTTCAAACAGTCCACATCCCCATAACATTAGAGAGATGACGAGAGTTGAGTATAACCAGGCAATAAAATGCAAATCTGCCATCACAACCACCTGTTGCTGACTGATCAGTAACCCTGAGGTCTAAACTCTGCATTACTCTCACAGTGATAACAGCCCTTGTTTATTCAAGATGATATCTTACATATACTCTGCTACACAGACATGAGATCTCTGCTAACCAAGGATCTGCCTTTCCAAGGCAATGGCAGTGCACCACATGGAAAACCTGTCTAGTAATGAATGAACAGACAGCAATATTTCTCCTGTTTTCTCTCCCCCTTTTTTTGAGACAGCCTCTGATCTTTACTACTGAATAATAAATCAGAGCTTCTTTATCTCAAGCAAGATCAGTGGAGGAGGGGGATTAATTCTCAGCTCTCCAGAAGTATTTATGTGCATTACTAATTAAATGCTAATTCAAATATGTGTCTGTAATGAAAATACACTAGACATCTCTTTACCAGGTTCTCTATATTGCCAGACATTTTGGGCAGTATATGTTCAAAAGACATGTGGAACAAATTCACTCAGTTCACAAATGATATATGATCAGCAGGAATCATATCCTCACTACAAAAATGCCTTCCTGTGGTTTCCCGTGAAAAAATAAAAAATGGAAGGAAATAAGAAAGACAAACAAAATAGAGAAACCATGCAAGTCTAACTTATAAGAATACCAGTTGGGAAAAAAATTAGTTGGTAACAACATAAAAAATTAATTTTTTAATCCACTGCATTATTCAGTGAGAGTTCTTCTAGCGAAACATGCCTTTATTTTTGCAGGTACATTTTATTCTTATTGGAATAATCCTGGTTTGTTTTTAGACAGCATCCTTGTGTTTAATTTTTTTTCTTGAATGTCTCAATACTTCTTGATTATCATAAAAGAATAATTTCAGGGTCACCTTGCTTTCTCCTGCACGAGTGATATATAATTTTCTTCTACCATACTGCTTTTTTATTTTAGAATACAACTTTTAAAAATTGTTAACCAGCCACCCTTACTAGTAAGGCAAGTAATAGCTGTAAGGCAAGTAAACAGCTGAAAGGCAAGGAAAGCCCTGTAATAGCTCATCTATCTTTTAAAGGCTTTCACTGTACTGCTGCTAATAAACTTCGGCAATTTCCAAAATCTAGGCTTTAATTCCAAATTCTTCATCTATTCCCTAACTACAGTCAAGAGGAGGCAATACTATCAATGCCAGCTACAGTCTGTACTAGATGAAACCTTTCCTTTCAAATGATATTTTCCCCATTATGGTCAATCTGAACAGACAAGAAGTGAACATGGCCATAAGGCCATCTACCCACCAAGGGGCAAGGCAGTTCTGGTATGGAAGTTGCACCATGAACTTACTGTGTTACTGTAGTTGGGTTAATATTCCTTGCTAAGATATAATGAGAGCCAACCCATGATCCAGTAACATGATATGCGCAGATCGAGAGCAGGTGTCTGCTCTCATCCACTCTCAGATCCACTTTCCAGAGCCTGTACAGTCCAGTATGCTTAAAGTAACAAGAGACCTGTTCAGATTGAGATAATAATGAAGAAAATGGCATTTGAAAAGAAAGGTTTAATGTGGTACATATTAGAATAGCTCTATCAAAAGTCACTGATAGTACTGCCTCCTGTTCATTCTAGTTAGGGAATAGGTGAATCTTCTCCTTCACCCAATCCTGATGTAGAAGAATGATGATGTAGCATCCCAGGGATTCTTCTGGGAGCAGATGGGGATATTCCCATAAGGTTATGACTTTTATGCAAAACCTGTGGCAAAATCGATAGGGGTGATGAAACAGGCTCACTGAAGTAAAACAGCAGGGGTTGAGTTTTATGTGTGTTCTCCTGCCTTCTAATGGGTAAAATGAGAACTGCTCGACTGCCCTTTACAGGCTTGTCACTGGGAAGAGCTTTTTATTGCAGCCATTCTGACAGGAGGGCTGGAGTCTCAACCCTCATGCTACTCACAGCATTCCGAGTAATCAAGCATGGTGCACAGACACACAAAGAACTATGAGGTTGCAACAGCTTAGCCTATATTACATTAATACACTCTATTTATTGAATAACATAGCCATTAAGTCTCAGTTTTTTCTCAGTTTCCTCTCTTTAAATCCTTATTTTAACGGTGTAATTCACGTCATACACAAAATCTTGACATCTCAGCTATAAAGGCTGTGCACAGTATGTATAGAGCAGGAAGAACCTTGCACAAGCGCAGAAACTTACATGAGTAATGCCACTGACTTAGGGAGTGTCTTTCTCCAGCAGACACAGGATGGAAAGGAAGTAATACTCTTGGAAAGACCTCAACATCTTGTATTCCAGGCTATTTAAACATGAGTGAAATTACATCCTTCCAGATTCTCCTACCCAGAGCACGGGCATTAATTTAGTGCATACCTAACTATGAATAAAATGTCAGGAGAAGCAGGGAACTGATAATGAGGGCCATTTACAAATAATTTAACTGGTCGGGTAGCAGATACTTAATTCAAAATCAGTACGTGACAGTGTCCAGGTCAGTCTTGGGGATTTAATCTCTGACCTAAAATATGCTCATGATAAAGCAGCCCTAGACAGCAGAGTGTAATGCTAGCTCCACTTTCCAGAGCCTGTGCAGTCTGGTATGCTTAAACTGAAAAGAGACCAAATTCCTCTGGGGTTCTAAAACAAGAAGAGGCGGGAGGAAGGGGGGAGCTAGATGGAACTGTAAGTAGAAGCTACTTCCTACATGATGAGGGCCATGCAGTTATTCACTTATGGTCTGCTTGCATCTGAGAGTAAAGCTGGTACTTCTGTGGATCTCTGTACTTCAGTTTGCATATGGATGTATTCACACATAGAAACCACAGACGGGATTGCTTTGAAACCAGGCTGAGTTAATATGGGGTTCTTTATGTTAATCATGTGTGGTACACATGTTGAAGAATTATGTCATATCTCATCACCTTGTATGTACATGAAACACTGGACTTTTATCAAAGCAGTGCTAAACCTAATTACATACCTGCGAGATTTATGACAATGATTCAAGAAGAGGCACACTGCTTTTTTTCTTCCTCTGTATTCTATTCTGTCAGTCATTAAAGGTTGGTACTCCTCAATTATAAGCCACTGATTCAAAAATAAAAATTAAAACATAACACACCCACAACTAAAAGTGAAGGGCTTTGACACTGTCTCTGAGAGCACTCTCCTGGAGAAACTGGCTGCTCAGGGGTTGGACAGTTGGACAGGTGCACTGTTTTCTGCATAGAAAACTTCTGGATGGCCAGGCCCAGAGAGTGGTGGTGAATGGAGTTAAATTCAGCTGGCAGCTGATCACTAGTAGGGTTCCCTAGGGCTCAGTGTTCGGGCCACTCCTGTTTAATATCTTTATCAACAATCTGGACAAGGTGATTCAGGGCACCCTAAGTCAGTTTGCAGATGACACCAAATTAGATGGGAGTGTTGATCTGCTGGAGGAGAGGAAGGACTGATGACACAGGGTGGATCAATGGGATGAGGCCAATTGTATGAGGATCAACAAGGTCCAGGCACTTCAGCCACAACAGCACTACAGGCTGGGGAAAGAGTGGCTGGAAAGTGGCCTGGCAGAAAAGGACCCACGGGTGCTGGTTGACAGCCAGCTGAACATGGGCCAGCAGTGTGCCCAGGTGGGCAGGAAGGCCAATGGCATCCTGGCCTGTATCAGAAACAGTGTGGCCAACAGGTCCAGGGAAGTGATCATCCCCTTGTACTCGGCACTGGTGAAGCTGCACCTCAAATCCTGTGTTCATTTCTGGGTCCCTCACTACACGAAAGACAGTGAGGTACTGGAGTGTGCCCAGAGAAGGGAAACAAAGCTGTTGAAGGGTCTGAAGCAGAAGTCTTATGAGGAGTGGCTGAGAGTGCTTATCCTGGAGAAAAGGAGGCTGATGGGAATACCTTAACACTCTCTACAACTACCTGAAAGGAGGGTGTAGTGAGGTGGAGGACAGTCTCTTCTCCCAGGTAACAAGCAACAGGATGAGAGGAAATAGCTCCAAGTTGCATCAAGAGAGGTTGAGATTGGTTATTAGGAAAAATTTCTTTATGGAAAGGGGTGTCGAGCTTTGGAAAAGGCTGCCCAGGGAAGTGGTGGAGTTACCATCCCCAGAGGTATTTAAAAGATGTGTAGATGTATCACTGAGAGGAATGTTTTAGGGATGAACTTGGCAGTGCTTGGTTAATGGTTGGGCTTGATGGTCTTAAAAGCCTTTTCCAACCAAAATGACTCTGACTATTACATCGATGACATAAAAAGGGAACTAAATATAAAACCAGAAAAAAATCTCTTAAGGAGCTAAGTACAACTGCTCAATTAAAATATTTTTTTTTTTTTTTAAAAGAAGAAGGGAAAGCTGTATATTTGGGTTAAGTTGTTTTCAAGACAATCCACCAAAGCATGGGTATGAGAATTCCCATAAAACCTCTCATCATGATACTCATCTATCTACACATATCAGTTTTTTTCAAGTTTTATGTTGCTACTTAAGTTGTTTTATTACTTCAGGACATGTAAATGATCGCCTAAGGCTGTTCTACAGATATAGAAGGGAATACACAGAGTGTGGTAATTTGTTTAGGGTCCTCCTTTCTCTATTTCCTTTAATGAGGTTTACCAGCATGTCAATAGATGGCACTTTGCACAGGTTGAGAATACCAGTGAGTTCATAAAGCTGAGGCAATACTGACTACAAAAATAAATCATCATGCTCACAATTACATGAATATTGTAATTACATTTATGCTTATGGTATTGTAAGGTTTATTGGTTTTAATTCAAAACAGAAAGCCAACCTGCAGAGTTCATTGTTTTGGAATTGCCCCTGCCTTCTTCCCTGCCACAAGAGATAATTTATATGTTTTTTCTTCTCAATGCATTCTGATAGCTGAAAGCTAAATCTGGCTCCTTTCTCCTATTTCTGGCACCACCTTTCTTTTTTCCCCGACCACCAGTATTTTCTTGTTTTACTTTTACCATATCAAGTTCAGCATGGAGGCAGTTGCTCCACAAAGGGAACCTTGCTTTCAACCTCAATGTTTGAGACCACAACAATGGATCTCCTAACCTCAAAAACGTTCCTTGAGGCAAAGGAATGTTTTGCATCAAGAGAGAATGCCCCAGGAGCTTAGTGATGGCTTTGTGGGAAGAACAAGAAAGAACCATTTTTGTTCTATTTATTTGTAAAAAATACAGTATACATATTCAAGTATTTTTCATGAGCCTGAAGGGTAACAGATTTCATAGTATAAAATCTGCTCAAGGGCTTTATTTTAATGTAACAACAGATGGTTTTGCTTTTACTATAAGGCCTGTACTATTACTGACCTCGTGTTTCTCTACAAAGGGATTACACTGATTAGATATCATTTTCTCTTCTAAATGAGACTGCTGCTTCTCAGAAGGAAGCGGAAAGACGGCCTTGCCTGGAGGAGCCTCTGAGGTTGGAAGATATAAGGGGGTTTACTTTGCATGTGGGTGCAGGGCAGGGGCAGTGACTGTGGTGTGCAGGAAGGCAATCGAGTTCCTCAGCTTTTCATGCTTTACTTTCCCATTATAATTAATTCCTCAGACAACCACACAATATGCTTTTAATCAAGAAATGAATGGTATGTTGCACAAAGCAGGCATCATGACAGCAACTCTAACACCACTGAAATCAGTGATGAAATGCTACCTTGACCTCAGTGACGCTGGGATTTTGCAACCCCCAAGTAAGGCTACTCACCTCTCTTTTCATCAACAGTAGATACTGCCTGGATTAAAAGCGGTGCGTTGGATTCAGTGTACTCCACAAACACCAGCAGCAGCTTCAGTGCTGTCTTTACCACCAGGCGAAACTAGAAGAAAAGAGTGCAACTTGTCATACTGCAAACCACAGCACTTCCACATGTGTGAAATGACACTGGGCAAGATGCATGTGCAGCAGTCCACATCTGGTAATAACAGACAAACAAAAGAGATTAAGCTGTGACAGCACCGAAAAAATGAAAGGTAGCCAGCTGGCTGAAAATTTCATTCACTGGACACAGTGCTTTTCTAGGGAAGTCCCAATAGTCAGTGAATCCAAATGAAAGCTTAACACTGCCACATGTAACAAAAGGTTGAACATTCCACCTACGTATATCCCCAACACTGCAGCCCAAAGCTTGATGTACTTAGAACCTACCGAAGTAACAAAGCATATATTTCTTTATTTCTCAACACAATTTATTTCCTCCTTTCTCTGTAAGCCGTTAATCCTGTCAAAATGTTGTATGATGGGATGATTTCTTCCTTATACTTTCTTCTCTTCTTATAATGTTACTGTTCAATGCTTACATTATTAAATAGATTGATCTTAACTATTAAACATAACGTGGGAGGAAGTGTGTTTAAACTCCAGCTAACCCATCCTGTCATGAAGTGCGTGATTTACTGGAACTGAGCATTCTGCCTGTGAGTTTTCAAATACAGTTCTTTGTATAGCCCCAGGAGAGAGAGTTCATCAAAGATTCAGCACTGGTAAAATGGATCTACTGGAAATCAATAGTCAAACTCTATCAATTTCATCACAGATCTCCTATTTCCAGAGAGGATCATTTGACTAAAAGAGCTGAGTGAGAATTTCTAGGGATGATGAAGTATGAGTGCTTGGCATGACAAGGTATGTGAAAAAACAGCCCCTTACTTAAGGAAATATTTGGAGTTTTTAGTAAAAGGAAATGTGAAAGGGAAGGATTTTTTAATAGCCAGGGCTGTACATGCCCAGCAGAGAAGGCTTTTACTGTGACAACTGATTATAGATTAAATTTGCTATACTCTCAATCTAAACAATGGATTTAAAGCCAAATAAAAAGTAATACGCTGCTGGTCCCAGAAACACAATTTCCAACCTACTGTGCTTGAATCAAGCTCCAGAAAAAAACCCCATGTATTTCCAAGTTTTCTGTATTTTTCTTCTACATTGGTCTGCAATGAATATATCCAACAACATGTAAGATTTTTAATGAAATAGCTACAGTAATGTGGACACTATGCTCTCCTCTGCAACTGACAACTTTTATAGATCTACTTTAGGACGCATTCATGTAGAGATAAGTCATGTTCCAGAAAGTCCATGTCTTTGTCTCCTTACATTAAGCTCATAGGCACTCTGAAACATAACCACCTGGTCATTAAAATGTCTCACCCAGGGGGAAGTAAAAAAAAGAAAAAAATCATTATACCATATTGCTAAACTGTTTCAGAGCTACATATAGTTTCTGTCAATATTGGTTTAATCCCATCCCCTCATTTTTTTTTCAAGTCCTCCCAACATAACTCTTCTAAGAGGCAAAAAAGTCATCATTAATCATTTCATAGATGTACACCAAGACAGCAACTGTGTCTATTTTCTAAAAAAGTCTGCAAGCGAAACAGGCATAGGCTCAAGCTACTACATTCACATAGCCGCTCACAGAGATGTACTAGAGCTCACTCGAAGGTACCGACCTACATTGCAGCTTGCTGCTATAAACACAGACTTTAGTGTCACCACAGACCCAGCTATTTCCATAGCTTCCTGGATTTTACTCACTCACATGGAATTGAGCCTAATGCACTGCAGTGGCACTACTAGCAATGAGAAATATTCTGCTGTTGAATCTAGACTCTTTCAGGCTTGATGTATTATCAAATTGGTTCATTTTAGGGCTGACAGCCAGGAAATCCCATCAAAAAACCTGACCAGGTCCCTTATGACACTTGGTTAGCCTAATTCACAATTGTACTGCTGCTGTGGTACTTCATAGATAGAGGGGGTAGTCAAAGAAAAGGAAATTGAAACCCAGTAACACAACAAATCCCTTTCCCCACAATTGCACTGGACAACTGTGTATTTGCCTGTAAGGCCAATACCATGGTGTTTCTGCTCTGCAATGACATTTCCCTTAGCAATCAAGTTCAATTGTTTAATGGACATATTGTACGAATTTTCAAAAAGTCTCCGCTTGTTTTGTAATGTTACTTTGTAAAATAGGAGTTATACCAGATTACTGTAAACTGTTCTAGCAGTAACATACTTCCCAGATAACCACTTACATACTACCTTCTAATCTGATCAGGATCTTTTCCCTAGAAAGGAAATCTTGGATATTACTTTTGATGGTTCTTAAAACTTCAAGGCTTGGCCACATGGTGACACTGAGATTCATTTACACATAAATGCTGCATGGCAAAGTTCCCATACCTTTCCATTTGACAGCAATCAGACGGAGATATACCAGGCTTAATTTCTAATTTTGTAAATCTCTTTTTCTTCCAGAAAGAAGAACCTTTGGCAATATCTTTGTTCAAAGTGATGCCTGCTGGCCATGGCAGCTGCTGTAATAAGGAGCTAGTCCCTATGTACCTGCTATGTTGCAAATCCTGTGAAGCCTCAGGAAGGCCCAGTGCAGTTGCACCAGACCAACGCTCAAGCTGGCTGATTTTGGGTGCTCTCTGCAAGTATCAGCCTCCTGTGCTTAACAAACTTAGCAGATGGCATTGTAAGGAATAAACACCACTCAGAAGTAGTCCTGGAGAAAAGGAGTGATTAGAAAAGCTACGTTTTGGCTGCCACTGAGGTACTAGAAGGACACTCTCAGTTCCTCAATCTGCAAATTTTCAGGGCTTATCCAACTCCCCCAAAAAACAGTCAATCCATCCTGGAAGGGAAGGTGCTTTCCAGTGAAGGTGCATACCATGGCCACATTCTGCTTGCAGTCAGCACAGACACTAGCTTTGAGAAAAGCTACATTTAAAACAATGCTTTTTCCTGCTCAATAGAAAATGGCACTTGAGATCCCTGTGGGCACTTTTAAGCCTGTCTGCTGCATGGGCAAGGACAAAAATAAACACTGCAGTCCTAGACTAGGCTGCACAACGCCTGTACTGGGGACTTACCAGCTACCTTAACCCACATAATCTTTGTGCTCATCCTGCAATGCTTCCTAATACTGCTCTAACAGTGCTTCTTGACAGAAGCAGGCAATCACTGAGCAGCTGTACTGCCCCTAGGAGACTGATGTCTTCAACCAGCCAAAGCCCCTCCAAGACATGTGATTGCCTGTCACCTCCAGACACAAGAACAGTCCAGAGACTGACATGTTCATGCTAAAATCAACTCTAATTATCCACCATGGCATCAAGAAGTCTCTCTCTGAAAGGTCTGTTTAGGGATACCTGCTGCCAGGACCCATGTGAAGCACAGTGAATTTTTTTACATAGCCTATCTTCTAAATATTCTCCTCACGACCACCTATGGGCCTGATCTGCCTGTGGCAGCTTATGCGTGCTGCTAGTGACATGTTAAGTGTTGGTATTGCAAAGGGAAGGGTCTCAACCAAGACCAAAAACAACTGTTTCACAACTTTCAAAATACCAGAGCAACTCAGAAAGTTCCCATTTGTAATTAACTGTGGTGATTGTCAAGGTAGGAGATCCTCACAGCTTCATGAGAGAGTTCTAAAATGTGTTTGCAGGGTATGCCTTTTCAATTAATTAAATAGTAGACAGTTACATTGCAAATAAAATAAGTAAATCTCCAAACTGGGAGATTTCTTAACAGGTGAAAAAAAAAAGAGCAGCAACTCTTTGACTTTCTTGCTTCCCTTTGTGAAATCATGGGAGTTCTTGCCAGCCAATACTATCACTTTATTTCACATGATGGCACAGCAATGGGATCAACAGAAACAAGTTTCATATTTCATTCACAAGTAGATGAATCATTAATAATTTGAATCACTGTTAAAAACTTCATGAAAGCTTTTAATATGGCTTCTGAGATTTTTTCTGGCTTTATTTAGTATTGAAGATGGACTCAATTGCTTTGTGAATCTGCTTCAATAGTCACAGTTCTGTTAAAAGTCCATGAACAATCATGCTATTACTTCAAGCAGGACTAGATATCAGAAGGGTCATAGAAGAGTTAGACATGCTAGCTCAAAAAAAGGTCCTGTTATTCTCACTTTGCAAACACTGGTTATTGCAATTAAATCCAAATTTCCATCTTAAATATTACTGCTTAATTATAAAAAAGAAGGATCATTGAGGCAATATACAGACTCATAGGCTTGGTAAAGTGATATTTTTACAGGATTTTGGAATGTCACAGCACTGAAGTATCAAAACCTCTATTAAGTTAGAAAAGAAAGTTCATATTGTGTTTTTGTATCACGTGTAAGCCAATTTATAGAGAGGAAATGATGTTAGCATCTTCTGGCTAAAGATAAGATGTAGCCAGCAACGTAAAAGGAAGAAAAATTATAAACTTTTTCTCTCCCTCTCACTTCATGTTATACAGTGAAGTTTGGCAGTACCTTTCCTTTTTATCTCTTTATGTTTAGACAATTATAGACTCAGCCAAAGATACCACACAACAGGCTGCAAAACTCATATCTCATGGAAGGGCTTATCCCAGTTGTTAATCACTTGTCAGGAAAGGTTTTAGCCTTTACAAGGAATGTTGTCACAAAGTACATTGACTGAAAGACCAAAGCAATATTTACAAAGTTCAGATTTAAACATTTAGGATTCTTTTTTTTTTCTTTTCTTTTTTTTTTTTTTTTCCTTAAGGAAGAAAGGAAAAAGAGAAATGAGTAAAAATATTTCCCTCTGGGAGATGCAGTTGGCTTGGATTTACACTATTCAAATTTAAAGGAGAAACAGGCATTGGGTTTTTAAACGAGGATTTACTACGGCCAAATCCTTCAAGTCCTATTCCAAGTGCAGACATGGACTTACTGCAGGCCACATACTCATGCTTTTGATAGGATACAGCCAAGCAGAGCTGCAGCTAAAGAAACACCCAGTGCAACCAGTGCCCACTCTGCCGATGAGA